TATATATATATACAGTATATAGATATTTATGATCAGTTGTAGTTAATTGGTGATAACTTGATGAAGTTTTATTTTATGTATGTGACAACTGTCCTTTATCTGGTCCTGAACACAATGGCAACCTGAACTGAAAATGGACAGCTAAATTATCAACACCTCTAATTTCAAATTAATTAACTGTTGGCTGTCCTGAGATCAGATAAACAGGTGAATAACTTGAGGACTCACGCAAAGGACTAGGACATTCATCAGACGGTCTATGCTGGTCCTCTTGAACGTGCTCTTTCCACAGTTCTGCATCAGCTTCGTCTCTGGACCTGCATAAGAGGAACAGAAACAAATAAGCAATACTCAATATAGTCTAATTGTGTTGTATTGTATTTCAAGTGTTATAGGTCATATCAGAAGTTTTGTTTTCTCTTTATATGGTTATAAGGTTGACAGTTTCCACTAGTTCCTATTGTCCTTCCTACCTCCAAACAGCACCAGTCCAAAGCACCATTCTGTGTTCCTCAGTGTGCAGCCTCGCAGCAGGATCTTCTCATTGTCCAGCGGGTATTTCTGACTAGCATAGGTTAGTGTTCCTGTGAAGCGGTCCAGGCGGTTGTTGGGGGGTTCACAGCGTACCTCGCCTAGAAGGAGAGAGAGGGGACACAATAGGTTTGAGGCTGTACTCACAATGACAAATGAAATATTAAAGCATATATACTAATGTAACCATAAGCCTGACCAGATAAAGTGGGACTTTGACTCTCTTTTTTAAATGTTTGGTCTTATCATAATAATCAAAATAGACAAAATGTATATAAACACATTAACATTGATGTACATTTTCATTTGGCCATTGTTTTTATGCCATGCCTTGTGTATGTGCTGTATGTTTACTGCCATGCTTCAATGTGCAAAAAGTTTAACACAGCTATTTGTGACTGTGCAGCGTCTCCAGTTGTGTGCCTTTGTCAAAGGCACCTCCTTTGTATCAGTGTGTGTGTGTGTTTAATACTGTGCATGCTTGTAGTAGTCATCATTTTACCGTTGAAATCTGCCAGTTTTTCGATATCGTCTCCCAGGTCTCCTGTCACAGTCAGGGCCTGTCTCACCTTCAGGTTAGTCTCTCTGATGAAGAGAGAAGGGGGAGGATGACAAAGTAAAACAGAAAAAGGAGAAGGGGAGAAAGTGGTAGGGAGGAGGAGGAAAGGTTGAAGCAAAGGCAGATGAGGACAAAAAAAGGAGGAAGAGATGAGTCAGTACAAAAATGGGAGATGATGAATAACAGTGTACAGACCTGTTGATGCACTCATCTGTAAGTTAAACAAGCCCACGTCATGACGTTACACAAACAAGAGACTAACCCATCCAGTTCTGCTGTCTCGATGTACACCAGGTTGAGAGGTTCACTGCTGGAGAGTAACAGGAGGTCAGCCTGAAATTACAGAGGGATTACTCACTGAAATCTGTTGTTAGTTTGTCATTCTGATAAACAAATCAAATATGAAGGCAATTCTGATCTGGCCTAATACTTTGCACAGACTGAGGCCATCAGTTTTCTTATTCAGCATGCAACTGGAACTATATCCTATAGTTTGTAGTACAGTGTCCAACATATTTAGGCTACAGCTTGCTGCATGCATTATAGTAAATATGGGATCAATGAAGAGATCAATTTAGTGATTTCTGGCAATAAAATCAATTAAAGGTTCTATCAAATAATCCCTACAGCAATTTATTGAAACTTATAACAGCGGTTAAAAACGTTGCTTATGTTAACGGCTTTGTGGAGTTTCAAAACAAAAAATAGAGGTTGTCCAAACACTGAATATTGCCAACTCCCAAAAATATAATGATATAACATTTCAATTTCATCTTCGTCAGGCAAACACAATCCTTTATTTTCTTTGCACACACATATTACAAATGCACTGACAGTGAGGTGAAAAAACATAAAACAATAAATCAAGATGACCAAAGGAGGCCCCAGGCTCGACACAATGCCAAAAGAAAAGGAGTGGAAATAGTTGAAATCTGTTGGGTAATGGAGCATAAAATGGAACAAGAAGAATATTATTTTCACCAGTTTACTCACAGTGACAAACTGGTTGTTTTCCAGCTTGATGATGTCTCCCACCTGGACGTCCATCCATTTCTCGCTCCGCAGTCTGAGAACAGGAAACAGGCTGGTAAGTGGATGTTTGGATTGTGTGTGTGTGTGTGTGTGTGTGTGTGTGCGCAGACTTGTGATTGTACTGCAGAGTTCAGAGAAAAGGTATTATTTTCCCTTTTCTTTCAGGATTGTCAGGAAACTGTCGGAGGGACCAAAAATAAGCACAGAACACCAAGGTCATCCTAATATTAGTCAGTGTTCTTCACTGCATGTTTCTGCCCGTTTCCTGTATTATCTGACTGACAATAATAGCGAGAGTTTTTGAAACTTGGCAGGAACACAAATATTTGATGCTTTTCAAGGATTTCTATTTCATGTCGGTAATTCAAATATGAGCCGTAGATTGTTTACTTAAATCAATTTAGTACAATCAATTTGACCTTACTCAGTAAAGTTTAGCACCATTTACATTTCAGTAGATTTTTGTTTCTTTGACTTCTACTCATTTGAAATTCCATACAATATGAGAAAAATGTTTTTGTACTCTTTTCACCCCTGTTATATTGAAAAAGTTATTAATACACGAAATATGAGAAAAGTATTAGTTTGAGCACTAACCACACCCTATTTTGAAATTTTAACTCCCTCCACTGGGGCTCTTTTACCTCACACCTGAATCAGTATTGACTCAAAGATGCATTTCTGATAATAATACTCATTTACACTCTTGGCTCAAAAAACAATCTACTTCAATCAATGATAAAATAGTCTATTCACCTTAAAGGCGTTTCATTGAAAAATAAAAAATATTTGTACTGCAGGTCCAACACATGCCAAATCGAGCACCCCTTCCATATTTAACAAAAAGCAGGCATTAAGTCAACAGGAACAAAAGAGACTCTTCCTGCAAACCTGCAGCTGCTTCCTGTGGCGGCCTAAACAGTGGGCACGGAGCAGCCAACAAGAGCACTGCCAGAAGGAAATACAGACGCCACATACATGCAAATATTTTGATCTAGTGAACCACACATTTCTAAAAATATAGTTTGTGCCTGAAGTGGAAATCAAATCCCAAACGTTGGGTTGATGTTGGGGTCTTGAGGGACCCACAGTGTCAAAACTAAAATTCTAATCTCAGCTCATCAGTAATGTTCAATCATAACATGGTAATCATATGTATTGTTCCTGTTTTTTGAACAGAAATGCTGAAGCAAATCATTGATTGATCAATTGTGTGAGGAGGCTGAGGTCATGTACTCAGTATTGTTTCTGGATTTGGGGATTTTAACAACCTGAGAAAGAGTCTTCATTCTACAAATAGATACAAATCAAATGTGAATGTGATATTTTTTAGATTCAATATATACAATTTTTGTTTTAGGTACAAAGACAACAATAAACAATACGTAATATATATTAAAATTAAATACAAATGATTTAGTTTAGGCATTTCTCCACCAGAATTATAAATCTAGCAACGTGGAGACAGTTTTTGATACAGCAATTAAAACTTTACTTTGGGAAATAAACTTATAAATAAAATAAATTACATTTTTAATAGATAAGGAAAAAGTTTTTGGTGCCTAGTCAAATATTTCTCAATGGGGTGTGGTTGTGTTTGTACCGAAAGGTATTGCATTCACTTGAAAATTACTCAGTAAAACAGGAAAAGAATTACTCAGAAAAACAGGAAAAGAATTACTCAGAAAAACAGGCAAAAAATAAATTACATGGAAAAGCCTAAGTTTTTTTTTTTTCAAGTGAATGCAATACGCTTTCGTATGTTTGAACCCTAATGTCTAAGATGCATATTTTAAGCCCACTTTCACCCTTGTATGACTTAAGGGTGACTTAATTCTTCTGTTTATCGACAAAGTCTGTATTTCGACCCTTCTGTGTATTCCTTGTGTGATACATAACAAAACTCTCTCTAGTACAGCCAAAGGAAGCAGCTGCAGGATAATGAGGAACACTTGTTTTGTATCCTGTTGACCTGATGTCTGCTACGTCAAATATGTGAGTTATGCTTGATTTGTACATAAGATCTGATGGCATTATTCCACCTTTAAAGCTGAAACAAGCAAATACTACTTTAGGATTTCTTTTGGGACTTCTTTGTAATAAAGGTAAAGGACACCAAAAAATGTCCCCTGAGGAACACCTGCATGTACAAAAAAGTAAAGGGCTGATGGTGCATCTACACTATCAAAACTAGGATGCAGCTACATAAAACTTTGCATTTATGAGGACAGGTATATTTCCCATGATTCATAGCACATTAACAAAAAAACTTGCATTTACACAGAGCAACTTACTTTCTATCAATAAGGACTTGAACTTTTCTGTTGTTGACTTGATTGTCGCTCCTGTGGCGATTCTGGAAAAAAGACACACACATACACACAAAAACACATGATGATCATAACAGGAGGTCACATGAAAGTCAATTAGACTACTGAATACTGATAAGGTCACCAACTAACAGACTGAGACAGTGGGGTGTGGGAGGAGATCAGTGGATAAGTTATAGTATCAAACAGGAACCTTACGGTTAATCAGCTGAATTAGACCTTTGACCTTTTTTAGAAACTTCTACTCCCCTGTTAACCACTGATGAGTCTCCACTATGATGATGCCTCCTTTGTCTTGTGTAATCTTTGGTGAAGTTTTGGCAGCGTTTCATCACGTTCAGAAACTATTTTAATGTTTATCTACCCTAACAGACAACTTAGGTTCATCCTTATAGTAACTACTTAATTTACTAACCATTACTGATTTAATCATTACAATTGCACAGGCCAAATATTAAAAAGAGTCATTGAAGCTTGCCCAGAACAGAATTTATCTTGTATTTCTTCCTGTACCGAAGCCAAAGGGTTTAAAACTGCTAACAATCGGAGTGAAAATGTAGGAATGAATGTTACACACAATATCAAAGTTAAAATTTAAACATTTAAAAATAACTTCCTGTGTCAAACCCTGATGTTGTTTTGTCTGGGTTTTATGTTCTACTTTCTGGCAGGTCAAAGAGTTTCTGTTTTACCTTAGTTTGACATTAATGAAAAACCATGTGAACTGATTTCTATGAAATCTGGTTGACTTAAAGGATCATATGTAGGATTTAGGGGGCATCCAGCAGTGTAGTTGCAATGCCCATTGGCTCACCATCATGTTCCAAGCATTTAGGAGAAACTACGATGGCTGCAAAACTGAAGAAAAACACTAATGGCCCTATCTAGACAGTGTTTGGTTTGTCCTTTCTGAGCTACTGAAATATGGTGGTTCTACATGTCGGCCTCTGTAGAAGAAGAGGACCCGCATCCTCTGTGGATAAAAACAGCAAATCTTATTTCCAGGTGATTACACACAAATATTCCTATGAATATTATATTCCATTTCTGCCTATAGATCCTTTCTATATGTCACACGCTGGATCGTTAAAGCCCTCAGGGAAAGGAACAACCAAGTTAGTAGTATTAATGCTTTTTCTGCTTCCCCTCACAGTTATCTTGCCTCAATTTGGGAGCTGATAAGAGCTATAAAACTAATGGAAAGTGAGGCCTAATCCAAATCCTAAAAGTCTTCTTTTATATATATATATTATATACATATATTTATATATATGTAAAATGCAAAATATATATATATATATATATATATAATATCTTTGCTCATCAGTATAATATATGAAATACAAAAATTATACCTCTACTAAATTCCTACATTACTACAGTTCACTAGGCAGTTGCTTGTTAAACTGTCCTTTCACCAACACTAGCGACAGTTATTTCAGCATTTGTTTTGCAAGGTCATCCACCCTGCCATACATGGTCAGTCTTGAGTTGCTGTGTACCTGCTGAGATCAAATCAAGCCTGAAGCCATTGAGTACACTGCAGGAACAGATGGGTACCGGCGGCGAGGACCGTTCAGGACCGGCACACACTGCCAAACAAAAAGACTCCTGTTCGCCTCCTGGAGCTAATGTTTAACCCATGACAACACTAATTTCCTTTCGTGGTTTGACATTAGGTTACTGTGCGCCACACACACACACATACAGTATGTTCAGTTGACCTTGACAGATTTCTTTCTTTCTTTGTTTTAGAGGTACATTATGTTCTGTTTCAGTTCTCGTAAATGATGATAAAAAAAGGAAAAAGAAAACGGTCAGACCAACTTAAAAAAATCTACTTCCTGATGAACTGACCTATATGCAGTGTTGGTCAGCTGTGATAAAGGCATGAGAACGGACACAGTGGAATTTATGTTATTTCTTAATCAGCCTCAACTAACATATGACATAATCTTTTGTTACTAAAGGAGCACTACATGACAACATTTTTACCTATCTATCTGATGAAAACTGTCTGTTGAGCAACCATTTAAATGGACCAATCTCGACTAAAAAAGTGAATGTAGTGTGTTGTTTTTCAGATTTTAGGTTCCTATTTGCCAAGGTGTTTCTTGACATAATGAAAAAACTCAATGTCAGCCTGAGGTCAACTGAGGTTAAAATGTGCCTGAATCAATATCAAACAGAGACACGGTCGCTACGGCAACCTTAATTTGACGCTGAGCAGACTGATAAACGTGTGTGCTAACAAACAAATGAACGTTATGTTTGACAAAGTGCACTGAAAATGAAAACGCAAAGTGTTTTGCACATGAGACTGCTGATGTTAGTGAAACTGTTTTTTCCCACAGTCAGAGAGTAAATGGTTATTATCAGCAACATGAGATAACAGGAAATAACACACAGTTCTATGTCTTTTTTTACTATACGTGGCGAAGCCGATACGTAAAAATTAATATCATCGCGTTCTATCACATCTGATAAAAGGTCCTACCTGATCACCTGGAAAATATCTTATCTGTACTTATGTTTCAGATGACTGACCAGAGGAGTCGGCTGTGTAACATCTTACTCATACCTACTGTAAATGACAAAGTAGGTCATATGACCCAAAAACTTTATTTTTAAAGCCTTTTCTTATCTTCCTTTATAGTTAAGGTTTAGTTAAGTTTAGGGAAAACAGAAACAGCCTTTGTTCACTTTGTTAATTCATTTCCGGGTAGAGAACATACACAGTGATCAATTAATCAGTCAGCGTGATCAGTGAGCTGAACCAGACAGATCATGAAACATCTGGTCTTGATCAATGTAGGTAATACATCTAACTAACTAACAATTACAGTACATGTATTGATTGATGATTCTTCTCTATCAGTATGAGTATTTTGATACAGACCTAAATTCAGATATATATTGATCAGTACAATAAATAAGAGTATTATTTGTATTATTTGGCCTTGGCAGAGGCAGTGTTTTCTAGTTTGTTTACTGTACTAATACCTCTAAAACCAAAGTGATAGAATTTAGTAAAGGTGAAATACTACTACAAAAAAAAAAAAAAAAAGTGCTTACAATATCGTCAGTGGCATCCTTGGCAGCGGTTACTGACAGCACAAGGACCAGAGGCACGACAGTGGTGAACCAGGACAGAGAGGAGATCTGAGGAATCACCTGAAGAACACACACACAACAGAGAAAACTGTCTTTAGTTCACTTTAGTTTATTTTAGTTTGATACATACAGTACTGATACATCAGCTGAGGACAAAAGTGAGAGGAAATACAGAACAAACTGTGTGTCTGAAATTTCAGCCTGAAGAAATTATATAGCGTCATTAATAGGAGAAGAGCACACAATCAATAAGATGCACAAATTAAGCCATGTGACAAGGAAGAACTGATTCGTTTTTGGTGTGAATCCAAGAACATTTCAAAGTTGTCTCTTATTAATAATCCTAATAGAATTGCTGTTGCTCTGCTCTGGTTCCACCTTGTCTGTCAGCACAGCCTCTGTGGTGCAACATGAATGTTTTGCACACGATGAGGCAATTTCCTGTACTGGATATTACACTTCCTTAATCTCATTGCACTTGATTCATCCACATCCTGTTTGGTTAACAAACAGTTTCATAGTGAGAAAAGGCAGTTGCATGTCATGCAGTTACGTGTCATGTTGGATTGTATGTCTGCAACAGTATGTGACAGTGAATGTCACAATGTCTGTCAGCGGATGTTTAGTATGGTTCCAGGGAGTAGTTTAATAGTACTTGGTTTATTTCTGACATTTATACACTCATTTTAAGAGTAATAACTGAAACGTCTTTTTGTTGTTTACGGGGAAAAAGGGTTTGTCAGCTTCTGGGACAAACTGGAAGCAAAAGCTGACTTGTCATTGTTGTATCCAACTATACATTATTGAAGGAACCCATTATACCGCATAAATAATCCCACATTTGAGTAAAAATCCTTGTGCAGCATAATAATATTCTTTCTGAATCTTTTCTTCCGTATCAAACATTCAGTGTGACTTCAACCAACCTGAGAGCAACAAGTCTAATTTTGCATTTTATCACTTGAGACATTTAAAAATGTCACCTAAAATTTGTTTATCAGTTGGATGAAAGCTTTACCTGTATGTCCCTACGTGTGTGTGTGTGTGTGTGTGCGTGCGCGCGCTTGTTTGCCTCACCTGGAGCACCAGCAGAAACAAGAAGTAGGCGTTGGCGATCCTCTGGAACTGCTCAAACAGGTTAAGAGGTAGGAAGGTGAAGAAGTTGTACTTGGAGGTCTTAATGGCGTTTGTCTGAAAGAGGTGTGGAAGGAGGGAGAATGAAGTGACAGAAAGATATATTATATATATTGAGCGTTAAAGCAATAAAGGATCTATATTTCAGTGAGAAATTCAAAGGTACTTATTGGTTGTCAGTTAATGTTGGAACTTCAAACTAGACTTTAGTTTCTTGTGTGTATGTGGTTAACATGCTGAATTTAGGTTTTGTCTGTAAAAATATGAGGTCACCCTTCAAAACAGGAAACAAAAATTCTAACTCTAGTGGTTGCTGTCATTGTTGTTAAAGTTAAATTCTTACAATAAATGTTTCAGTGGAATGAGTTAATCAGTGAGTTAATGAATGGTGACAGTTTGTTCAGAGGAAACCAACAGCAGGGAAAATGAGTGTTAATACTGTATGTGTATTGACAATTTTACTTACTGATCCATTTTCCCTTTCTTAACTAAGGTATTTTCTTTGTTTTCTCAAGGATGAAGAGGCAACAATATTATTGCCAAAATGTTACGTAGTATGGAATATTTAACTAAACTTTTTCCATTTTCCATTGACGTTTTCAACTTTGATTTATTTTCCATTTTTTTCAGTTAAGTATCTTTGCATATATTCTTTTTGGTGTATATTATGGTATTTCAAATTTTTTCCCCCTTGTTTTACAATTTAACACCTAATTTTTGGATCTCCCAGCTCTGCTTTAAAAGTGTTTTACTTTTTTTGTGACTTACTAATATTTAGTCTAACATATAAACATCTCATTCAGCTAATCTAGTTTGTTTCTATTTCATACTCATTTTTGTGGTGCTTACAAGACTATTCTAGTACGTCATGTACAGATACTAATAAGTATGTGTGTAAGTAAAAGTTGAATGTCTGGCTGAAATAGTCCTTGGATATGTAATTCCTCGGAATACTTCTCAGGGTAAATAAAAGACCAAAGGCTGTCTCCGGATGTATTTGCTTACTCTAAAAAGATGAGGTTAATTAGAGGTACTTTGAAGACCAAAACAAATAGGGCAGCTTGGGGATCCTAACTATCCCTAAAGAAATCATTAAGAATTCCCCACATGCTATACATTTCTGGATTTTAACTCTGTTAATCTGTTATAAAGCTCTACATTAGGTTTCTCAGGTTATGTGAAGAAGAGTTCCTTGCAGATGTTTGGCTTTATGAGAGTGTAATCTGGTGGGAGGCATTTGCTCTGCACCAGGTGGATCTTATCAGCAGGCTGGAAGCTCTGGCCAGCCAGACTATGACTCCTATGTCACTTTATCACCGGATCTCTTTACTAACAACACGGCCCACAGACTTTGTTCAGTAAACGTTTAAATACACAAGCAGGAAAATGAGAGTTAACAGCCTTTTTTGGTATTTTCCACTAGTTTTATCCCCATGAGCTGTATGGAGGATGAGTTTAACCAAAAATATAATTAAAGTGCAATATGGAATATTTATTATAATGTTTTCCATTGACGTTTTCAACTTTGATTTATTTTCCATTCAGGTTTTTCAGTTTCATATTACATGTGCCTTTAGTATGTGTACATTTAGTAGGTGTACATTATGGTGTTCATACATTTTCCCCCTGTTCTTCTTTTTTCCTTAGTAGTAGAGCAAAATAATAATTAATACTTTCTTTATTTTATATTTTCTGAATAAAATTATCCTCCATACAGACGTTGCAGACTTTACCATTGTATAAGTCACACCTCTTATTGCAGGTATGGTGAACTGAAGTATGTAACCCCTTTAGAACAAATCAGAAACCATAAAAATGCAATTTGCTAAATGTTAAAACAAGTTATCCATGAATATATTATTGGGTTTACCTAGAAGCAACTTCAGCTCTTTGACTTTGGCTGACATCCAGTCTCCTGATAACAGCAACACACACACCGAGGGAGAGTTTTTCTTGTACATACAATACAGTATCTGTATTGACAAAATGAGGTAGTGAACTGTTTTGTCTAAAAGGTACATGGGCTGCATCCGCTGTACATCCCCTTCTCCATTTCAGAAGTCCCATTTGTGGAGGACAATAGCACCTCACATCAGTGTGTGAGTGGAATACTCATTGCAGTAACAACCACACACATTCACATATTAATACTTACTGCATATTTAAAGGAGAGGTTGTACTCGCGGTCGTTGGCACGGAGTTTCCTCTCCAGCTCTGATTTGAAAAGACAGGAAAATTATGATTTAAGTGTGTGATGATATTGTGTCCTAAGTTTTCTATAATGTAAAGTTTTATCCAAAGCTCATCACAGTACAGATGTAGAACAGGAACCCCCAGCAGTGGTAGGGCTTATTCTCCACACAGAAAAGACCACTATTATCATATGTTACACACTCATTTCAAGTATTGATGTGTAAACTTTGACACTTAAATTTTCTTTGACTGCAAATTTATATTGGTCCCCAAATATTGGTTATGGGTCTCCTTGATGATTAATAAAAAACATATCGGTCGACCCGTGTTGAGTATCTCATTAAACAGCATTTTTGACTTTGAAGGGCTCTTAATTTTAATACAAGCATCATGATACTGACTGCATTGTCAATATTAACTATGATTATGTTTTTTGAAAGTTATATATAGAACCACAATAGTTTATTTTGAATATTAAAAATGTTTGCATTGTCATTGTGGGTATGTTAACATGCTGACCTTAGCATTTAGCTCAAAGCACAGTCTCATGTAGTGTCCCAAATCCATACTACATACTAATTCTATACAGTATATACTACATTCATTTTTTACAGTTTTAGCGGTTAGTATACAAACACATCAACACACAAACAGGCTCCAATACAATATGTGTGTTGATGGATGGGAATCACATTGCTGCTTTAGAAAGCTACTGCTAACTTCACAAAGAGACATCAAAATGTTTTTCTTAAGATGTATTACTTTAGTTTTTTCCAAGATGTTTTTGAGCTGTTGTGAGTTGCTCCTTTCTGTCCTTTGTGCATCAACAGCACACTCCTTATGTAGTGTGATTTGATTGTACTTGTTACATTTCCAGTGTGAAGTATGTACTGGATTTGGGACGTACAGGTTGTCCTTTCTTTTTAAATTTTCCATAAGTAGTTTTAAGCTAAAGTGCAACACTGCAAAAATGCTTTGTTTGCTTTTTGTAGCAGAAAGAAAATTTTGTAATTTTCATGTTTCAGAAAATATCAAATTACTGAAGTTAAACATCATGACATCTGATGATATCTGAATATTGAGCATCCATCTGTTGGCTCACCTTTCTCTTTCTTCCTGACACAGTCAATGCCAAAGAACGACATCTTCTCTTCCTCCTTCTGCTATCTATCCATCATACTGGTCTGAGAAGAAGGAGAGAGAGCTGTTACACTGTGGCTGGACAAATGATAATTCTTTCACCTCATTATCTTCATTACCAGGAAATAAACACACACACACA